CAATCTCCTTGCCTGGAGTCACCGCTGAGAAGGGCACCGCATACAATCCATGCAAATGATTAGACTCTTGGACGTAGCTGCAAGCAAGGATCTGAGGCGATCTCGCAATCTTCCAAGTTCCTTTACCATGTTTAGGGATCTCAGCGCTGGTTCTTGTGGTTGGTTAGCAGGGGGCAATTCTGACAGTGACGGTTAGGCCAAAGAAAGGAAGCCCCAATTGGCATTGAGTTGTCCAAGCTCCACCACTTGCCAAGTAAGACCCCATCTCCACAGCTCCAGGGCTCCGTGCCATTTACGGTGCGCTCTACACATTTTTAGGCCACGTCGACGAAAATCAGCACCTCTGAACAGGAATGCCTAATACAACAACATCAGTCTATGTGAACAGGGTCAGGACGAAACAAAGTGCAGATTCCATGCACCCACCGTGCTGCTTCATCTGGTCCCTTGCAGCAGAAAGGAATCCTGTACACTACATGACTATGGACAGAGATGCAACAATCAAAAGCTTGCGACGATGTGTAAATAAAACTGACACAGCAACATGTCCAGACTGATTGCTGAGCTTCTGATAGTTGAAGAACATGATGCCAGCAAGCCTCAGCAGCTGTCAGCTTTTCAACCAAACACTTTCTCTGAGACTCGCAATATTTTCCACTCCAATGCATCTTACTCTCCTTGTTATCTGGTGTTATTGCCTTGAACCTTGTATTATCTTGTATTCAATGGGTAGTTCCGAGAAGGGGAACCCCCTACATACGCCAGAACGCTTTCATGCTCATGAGCCCCAAATCCTAAACCCTATACTCTGATCCCCGAACTCCATTTACGCATTTGTGCCAAAATACCCCTGCCCAACAAACCCTTTGAATGCTAAGGCATCTTGCCGCGCCACTATCTGGCTTGAACAAAAACAGCTTCAGGATGCCGGCAAGGCTCACCAAACCCAACCACAGGCCATGGCTCCTGCGTTGCGTTTGTGGAGGCTTATGGCTTCAACATGCGCACGGCTGAGGCAGAATGCAAGGCACTCCGTGCAGGCTAAAAGGTTAGGGGTTAGGGTTCCGGACGTAGAGTTTTGAAATTTGCGCCCTTGTTCCGCAACTCTTGCTGCTCTCTTCTCAACTGTGACATGTCCGGAGCTCAGCGTGGAGTATGTTAAGAACGCGCATTGAAGCTGGTAGGCGGCAATTTACAACTCTATCGGCTCTTTTCGTGCGCGGAGCTATACGGGGTTCCATGTTAGGTTGGGGGAGGGCAAACCCAGGCGGGCTTGAAGGCTCCGCAAAAGGCTATCGCTCACCATTCTTCACGGGCTAGGGTGCATATACCTACTCCCCAAACGCGAAAAGCCTCAAGCAATCAACTGCCTGTCAAACGCTACCCCTGTCCAAACCTTAAACCCTAAACCCTACAAACAAGGTTATCAGATATGTATATATATGTATATCTTCCTTCCCCTTATTCCCTACTAGTCCCCAGTAAGTATATGAGTCTTTTACAACCTTGTCCTGTACTCGCCCAGCCGGGGGGAATCTTTCCAGGCAGCGAAGGCAAACGTGGAGAGTCCGATCGGGGCAAGAAGCTGGGCCAAAGCACTGAAGAAGCCCACAAAAACTCCTTATTCTTAGCCCACTTTAGCCTAGGAAGAAAAGGGATCCTTTCTACTTAAATATTAGGAACCCCATACCCCAAAAAGTATAAAGGATCGCTAACATTGATCCAGTATTTAGCTCTTTATTGGAATGTTTTCGCGGTTTACACGCCAACTCTCCTATTAGATTCTCTTTAGTGGAAAAATGGAAGAAGCCATGACTATTTCTGGGGTTCAAAAACTTATCCTCCCTTTGCTAAGGGCAGTTACAGGATTTGACCCTGGGCAGTTGTGGGCTATTGGGGCCGACGTGTTCTCCCGCAAAGAAGACATGCCGGCATGCCAAGTCACTGGAAGCTTCCATCCTTGCAAGGCGGTGGACAAGCATTATGATGGTGGTGGTAGTAGTAGTAGTAGTAGTAGCAGTAGTAGTAATAATAATGGTGGCAGTAGCAGTAGCAGCAGAAGCAGCCAAATGAAAGAAAAAGTAAGGAGCAAGAGCAGTAAGTAGTAAGAACAATGAGGATGGCGAGCGGGTATGGATCGCTGCCAACATGAGCGCTCGCAGTCTTACCCCAGGTAGGCATATTACTGAAACATCTCTACAATACTGATAAAATTGTGATCTAGGCTATAACCTGGTTCCGCGTTGAGAGTTTTCCTGCCTAGGTCATAGGTCTTGTCAAAAATCAACGCCACTCTTCGCAGCATTGGCGCTAATTAATTCTGGAGGTGCCACTGCAACAAAGACCGGCGTGGGCTTTAATACAACTGTGGATGAAGGAAATCTGGCAGCACCTTGTGTAGCCTACACCCTGGGAATTGACGGATAATGGATCCTAAGTGGCGAAGATCTCTCACGGAGGGACATTGGAATGGCAAGCCTTTCGGGAAGAGCCCTCGCACAAGACATCACACTTGCAATCCCTCAAGCATATGTCAGGGTCTCTAAAAGGGATATATTGGGACCCATTACGATTTCGAAGGACCTTACAAAGAATTCCCAAGCAGCAAAATTGACGCACATGCAGCGCAGCGGCGCAAACAATGTGTTGATGTTCCCAATCACTGCCAGAGAAACAGTGAGCAAGATCAGAATGGAGTCATAATCCTGAAGCCAGGTGAAAAAATGCTTCTGGCAGCTCTGGCATAAGGGTTCACACAAAAAGGCCCTGCCACACAGCAACCTTCCTCTAGTTGTGCTCTCATGGCTGCTCGCCAAGTTTCCAACTCATTCGTAAAGTCTTCGTCCGTGCCGTCTTGCCGGTGGGCACCGCAAAGAGTCATCAGCAGCAAAGTCAAGCCACTGAGGCTGCAGAATAGCGTCTTAAAGTATGGCCACGACTGCGCGAAGATCAGGAAGCCCTCCGGGGAGCACTGCGGATGTTCGTGGAACTTGCGCAAGAAGCCAATCCACACGCCAGCGAAGAGAATGAGCAGCGCACTTGAAGGGTGCGCAATTCAATAAAGTGTCATGCAACAATTGCGGCCAAACTCACGTACATCTCTTCTTCTCAAAATTCTTTAGGATTGTAGCTCGACGCCGGGTTTTCATAGGGGGACACAAAAAATATGAGCCCCTGTACAGGAAACTCCCTCCAGAAAGCCCACAACACTCTAATTGTGGAATAGAATCCCCTACCCCTTATATGAAAACCCCCAACCGCCCTAATATTACATATCACCTATCTTAGTGGAAATATGCAATAAACGGGTTGGGGGGGTGTGGCGTCGGGTTTAAATAATAGGCGGAGGGGATTATGCTAAATCATACTACAATCCCTTAGATGATTAGGTAGGAAGGTGTCTTCCTTAATTTCGCGTACCTGAACCCCAAAGGTAGGTCAAATAATAGCCCAAAACCACCAAAAATAGCCCAAGAGGCAATAAGTCTACATACTTTTGGGGTTCAGGTCCCTAAACCCTGAACCCTAAATCCTAAACCCTAAACCCTAAGGTAGACTGCTCCCTAGCTCTTGAAGCCCAACAAGGCCTTGGCAAGAACTTGACCAGGAAATTTGTCCATGTAAGGTCCTCAACATCCACAATTTGGGGGGGGTTTAGGGTTTAGGGTTTAAGGTTTGTCCATGTAAGGTCCTCAACATCTCCAATTTGGTGGTTTCGCAAAATTAGGGGTAAGGAGATATATGGGAGTACAGAAGGGTATATGGGGATTAGGGTTTAGGGTTTCCCACAACTATGGGTTACCTTATTGGGGATCCCCACAATAAGGATTATAGTATATTGGGGTCTATATTGGGGTCCCCTGATTCAGGAACACTACCATTTAAGGCTTCGTGTACAGGGCTACCATGTAAGGCTTCGTTTACAGGGCTAAAGGGTTCAGAGTGTTAAAGCGCTTGGGGTTTAGGGTGCCAGGCTTACATGCAGATCGAAGAATTTTGGGTGCAGGGTGAAAAAGCTGAAGAACATTAGGTTTAGGATGGTTTTAGGCTTAGGATGGTCTAGGGCTTTTCACTTCTTTGAGACTCGGGACTGGGGTGTTCCAGCGGGATAGCCAGTTGGCCAAAGGAATCTAAGGACGGTTACATATTTCCAAGGCTAGGGGCCTCCCTCATCTACTAAAGAAAATATTATATATATACACATATATATATATATTTATGTATGTTCCTTCTTCTAAGGACTACCCAAGAAGCACCCCTAATTTATGTACATACCCATGTCTTAGAAGGATCAGTGGGGAGCGTCAGTGCCTTGGGCTCTGAAATTCACAAGCACAAATTGTGTTCGCCTGTTTCAATCAAAGCTTTTGGCCTAACGCCGCCCCTTCACAACGAACCATAGCCAAAGCTTCTATGGCTTTTCCCGACTCCAAGGCATCCCAGCTTCCGGCGTTCTTCGCAGATGCGCCGAATGGCCAAAGAGCACGGCTCCCATCATAACCTGAGCACGGCAAGGCGACGAGGTGTCCAGGCCTGCTTTAGGGTTTAGGGCTTAGGTTTCAGGATTTAGGTAGGGAGCTTTGCCAATCTTCTGCAGGAAGTTCGAAATCACATCTTGATGTAGCTCTTCTACGTCAAGCAGCCTTTGAGACATGACAGGCTAGATTCTAGGCCATCTCTAATACTACTAGAGAGAGGCTATAAGATATCACCTCTTGACTTTTTCTTGCTGTTATTACCATTACTATGAAAACTGTTCCTGCTGTTGCTCTGACTATAACTTTTCTTGCTATCATTTATTTTTTGCTACTAGTACCAGTACTGTTAGTGCTATTATTGCCATTGGTATTATTACTATGAATGCTATGACTATTACTTCTATTATTGCTGTTACCATTATTCCTTCCATTGCAATTATTATCGTTATTACTAATCATTACAATCTGTGACCGCTATGCAACATCCCTACCTAGAAGTCAGGCAGCCATTGAGTGCGTCACGAAGACCTGTGCAGCTGCAGCCAAGACCCTAAAGGTTGGACCAGCGGGTAGACCCCACGCCTGGGACTGCTGACTGGTGCTCATGGATGAGTAGAGGAAGGAATATGGGTGGTTGTCAATTTTGGTCCTTTTTTGGATCCTTAATACGGCACCGAATATTTACGGTACCCAAAAAAGGGACCATAATATTGACAACTACCCATATGGCAGAGAGGAGTATACTGGGATCCACTCCCCACAACCCATTAAGCAACAGTAAAGCGCGAAGGCCAGGCTAGCAAATTGCACGTGAGGTTCCAAGCATTCATGGTACCTGGCTGCTAAAATCAAGGTGATAATCTGTTGGGCTATAAGTTCTGATGTGCGGTTCTCACCCAGTCTGCTTCGCACTGCTACGCTTGAAGCAGAAATGCTCTTGAACACTGCTAATGCCTGGTGCGGGTTGGCATGCCACTACTAGTGGGCGGACCTAACCCAAGCCATTACCTTACGCATGTAATTACGGCGCTGGCCACGACTGCTACTCGCAGGAAGTACGGTTTCAGGTTTATGGTTTTGGTTTCCCCCTCCCCCTAGCCTTCATTCAGAGTTTGATTCACCCTCCGGCCTTTTTAGAGTCTGGTACAGAGAGTTGGAGGTCTGTTTCCTGCTGCCCGGTGTCAAGTCATGTTCCGAGAGACTCTGGAATGAAGTGCTGGCAGTACCTCCTACACGCGAAAGCTTCCACAAATTTTTGAAGACGGAATTGTTCATCCTTTTTGGGATTCCACGTTAGGTTCCGAGGCTTTAGCAGTTTGGGGTTTATAGGGCCTGTCGGAGAAGCCCTTCTGGTCCAAGGATCCCCAGAGTAGACCTCGCGGTCGTAGAGGGTCGTGAAGAAGTTGGTGCCCCAGAGCATGATGAAGAGAGACAAAGAACTGAAAAACTCGCGCCTCAGTATCCGAGAAGCCCCCTCATGCATCTTACTCGTGCTTAAGGGCGAAAGGACGAAGGTGATACATAGACGCGATCAGATGGATTATGCAATTATTAAGGTCCACTCCCCCACTACTTAACCCGTCAGCCGACAATCAAGGAACCCATGGAAGAAGAGTCCCACAACTCGCAGCTATAACGCCCTAAAGCCAGTCCTCCCTTTCCGGTATCATGAAGGCCAAGAAAAATCGTCAACAACGCTGATACTTACTGGTTGTCAGTAGGGCCAGTAGGCAAGCCCCAGTAAGCTACACAATCCCGTGCAGAAAACCCCGACCCCTTACCTCTCCAAAATGGGGCTCTCGCTGGCGATCCGGTTTCGCCACCACGTTCTCCTCCCAGACTTGACTTTTTGGTGTCAGACTGTGTGTTGGGGAGCTGTGTCTTGGTTTGAGCATTGAAGGATGCATAACGCTTGTGGCGGGGAAGCCCTCTAAACAGGATCCTGACATTTGGACGATGACAAGAGTTCCCGCTTTGGGAGGCAGCGGCCATGGCTGGGAGGCACTGCTACGCACGCTGAAGTCTCGTGCTGTTCTCTGCCTCATGGGTTGAGGGTGCTCCCAGTCTTCTGCCACCACCCAATTTGCCGTTGAAACGAAACCCTCACCAACGCAAAGGCACAATGCACGGCCAAGTCCTCCAACGTGCACAGCAGGAAGCCGGCAACGAGAACCATGGTGTAGGCATACGCCAGAGAATCGAGGACCAGCAAAGCGGAACTTCCGGGATCGTTGCGGGCAATGATCCAGTGCTCGGTCTCCTGGAACACGTGAACATCCAGCTTCCGACCGCAGAGGACGAAAACGTAGACCAGTCCCATGAATCCCACTAAAAGCAGTAGGACATAGTCTGGGACGAAGGACGTCAGCCATTTCTGACGATGTGGACGCCTGAAGGCAGTTTTGTTCAAGCCACTGTGGGGCTGTTCTTACTTGGGAACCTGATCGTAGCTGCTTGCATCTGACGATTATGGTAACATAAACCAACATGGAACCCCCAAGTAGCCACACAGAAAAGATGATTGTCCCATTACAAGGTGCTTCCACGTTAGTCTGGTGGCCTGTCATAATCTTTTGTTGTGGCAAAGCTCTCAGCGTAATGACAAGTCCACATGAGCAAAGCAAGAATGGAAACAAGGGTTAGAAGAGGATTTGGGAACGCCAGCCCCTACCTATAACAAGGACCCTGAAAGAGCCATGTGATTGTGATAGGGTCCTTGTTCTGGGGGTTGCAAAAGCCCCCTCATACCCTAAACCATAATCCCTCAGCCCGTCTGATGCCTGAAGATGCAGCTGACCATTTTCTGCAGACCATGCACGATGCCATGCGGCTGCATGTGCTCTAGGTCCGCGTAGCGCTTCTGATACATGTCCTCAAATTCGGTTCATTCCCCCTTGCAGTGACTATCTTTATAGGTGCAACCCTTGTGGTGACAGTTGCTGTCAAGGGGATTGACCTGACCTCAACCATCGTTCGGGGTTTCCGGTGCAGGGTTCTGGGATGGTCTCCGAAAGGTAAGACCTCATCTATCTTTCGCGAGCCCTTCCAAAAAACAGATGCCGGAGAGCAAATGCAAATTCCCATTTAGAAAAGGCCGAATCTGAAATTGAATCCTCAACCCTGAATTCAAGCACAACACACAAAATTCTCCCCTCAGTGACTTAACAGAGAGCCTAGTCCTAGCAACCTCGTGCAACTTATAGCCGTAACTGGCATAAACACCCTGCCCATAATATCAACTATGTCCCGCAATATATAAAGCGCGCCTTATGAAAAAGATACTTAATATTAGGGCCTTGTCGGCTGGGTGGATATTACGGTGAAAGGATCATGACAATAAGCACTGCCATGAACACTAGTTTACGACAATTTACATTACGGGCGTTCCTTTCAGGTTCCAGGCCCTTGTGAGCTGCGGCTCCTCCCTCCTCTCCTCCCCATTCTGGGGTCATTCTTTCAGGCCAGGGCTTTTTCTTTCAGGCCTCCTGTAGTTCTTGCTCAGAGAGTGGTTTTCCCCAGGGCTGGCTCCAAGGAAGCGGGAATTTACATCACTGAATAAGGTGCATCTCTGGTGCAATTGCGAACCATGGCGGTGCAACCACGTAATGTTGCAGGCGAAAGCACTAGAGTGCGGTTTTCGGGGTCAACTAGACAATAGCCTTATCATAAGAGCTTTGGCTTCTACATTAAACGCCCTACAAACCCTGTGTAACCTCAGTTTCCTCGATTTTTACGTTCCTTGTCGTTTTGATTCTCCATTGCTGATAATTGCTCAGCCTTCATCCCTGGACCTCACATAATTAGCCTGTGAATCTCTAGAAACCACTTCAAAGACCCAAAACCAAAAAAAAAAAAAGTCTACTTCAACATAACCCCTACGGCCACGACACGGGAAGCGGCTCCATCAGATTTCCACAAAGGTGGTTGAGCAGCACCACCTCCACACAGCGCTTTACCAACAAGAAGTAGTAGATATGGCGTCCACCTAGGTGCTTGCAAGATAGGGTTTAGGGTTTAGGGCTTAGGGTTTAAGTAAGGTCTACTGTTTTTGGAACCTTCGTGTATGCATGGGTCTTCACAGCATGCAAGACATAAATAATTTGCTTCTGAGCCCTTGTATCAGTACAGGTCATACTGCCCCCAAGAACCCACATGTCCGAAGCGGTGGAAGACGGCATTTAGCAACTGAGAGCGCGGCAGCCCGGAAACTTTGAAGTGGGCTCATATCTCCTGGGTTGCTGCTAAGGAACTTAAATTAAGTTACCATAGATCGGTACATATAGTCATCCCTAAGTAGATAGAATTAGATCTTTGAAGGTGTTTTTTCTTTTTTGAAAATCGGGATTTTGCAGAACGATAGATAGAAGAGGCTAGGGACCATAAAGCAACCCGAGTAATCTCCTCCAGCACGACGTGCAAAACACACTAAACCCGGCTCAAGAAACCCTCTACCTCTGTCAGCCCCATATCAAACGGTGTGAAGCCATTAGAATCCCTCTAGAACCCCTTCGAGAAAGCCTCTTGAACCGTGCAACATTTCCCATCAAAAACCCATGAAATCTCTGCAAGCCTTCAAATGCTTGCAAGACTGTCTATAGACTCCCAATACAAACTGTTCGTGGGATCCTTTCTGGGCTCCATACAATTCTNNTCTATCCGTTTGGTACCTCTATAAGCCCGCCATGAACCGCTACACAACCTCCAAATATTCTATCTATCCGCTTGGTACCTCTATCGTCACCCAAGGAAACTTTAGAAAACCATTCTGAACCCTCTCCAGGCCCTCCAGAAAACCATGTCACCCTGTATATAATTTCTATACAAGCGATGCAAAAACTTCTTCATAAAGCCTCTGGAAACTGTAGAACCCGTCAGAAACGTCTTGAACCCTCTACAAACCCCCTTGAAAAGCACAAAAGCCTTACAGAAACCCTCTCATAAGACCTTTATAAACCCTCCATAGACCTGCCCCCAAATACAAACTGCAAGGAAGAGGTCTAAGGGCTCCATTTTGGGATCAATAAAATTCCCCCCAAATATTCTATCTATCCGTTTGAGATAACACTTTTTTTGAAAAACGGCACATTCTATCTACTTTAGGATGACTATAGCTCTAAATTAATCTGCTGTGAAGAGATCCCTGGACTTACACCCCACAGCAGTCAAAGCCCTGCCCATCTGCAGAATGCAGCCGCGTGAAACCCTGTAACATCAATCTGAATCCGGCCAAAGTGCAGAAGATCAAGGCTGCAGACGTACAGCAGTTATCGTTTAACAACTTTCGAGCCCAAAACCACATGTGCCATTAGCCAGATGTCCCCAATCTGAGCCTCATTTGCACCACGCTTCAATGGAAGAGTGAGAGAACCCTCTCAAATCCTGAAGCCTGGGAACTCCGCCCTTTAAAACACATCCAACCTCGCCCTTGCACCGCATAATCCTCGAGTTGCATCCTGAACCACACCTTCACGCACTGAAACCTCGAAGCACTCAAGCGTACAAGTTTCAAAATCCAATTAACAGCCAACTTCCTCAAAAACTGCAACCCAGACTTGGCTCCCTAACCCCTACTACAACTGGACCAAACCCTCGTCAAGCCTGACTTGTGCCCATGGCAGCCTGGCGCTTCCACGGGTTTCGGGGAAGAGCTTGGGGATTAAGCCGTTCAAGTAGGCACGAGGAATACAACTTACCTACCAAGCTGCCCGGATGTCTGAATTGTTCACCACATAATTGATACCTACGATGTAATTAGGGTACCCCTGGAAACAGCATGACAGACCCTGTTCGTAGGGTTGGAAATGCTCGCTGGCCAGCCTTTCGT